GGTCGGACTCCAAACCGGATGTTCCTGGAGTCGACCTCACCCCAATGACACCAGACCTGGGAAATGGCCCCAGGGAGAAACTGGATAGCTTTCTCATCCCTGCGAGGGTCCAACAGTTTGCCCACACCATAGGGATGCAGGGACTGCCCCAGTGTAAGACCTTGGGTAAATGGACTCTGAGTTTTAACAATTGTATAAATCTAACATGAGTTTTAAAAACTGAGTATTAATGTGCATTGCATTAAATCTACTATGCAATGTGTTTCCACTTACCTGGCCAACATTAATGCAGGACTGTGGGATACCGCACCTCAGCAGCTACAGGAAATGGCTGAGCTTGTGGGTCCATGGCCCTTCGATTTGGTTGGGGCCAATGACTGCCGCTCCTCCGGCCTGGGTATTCTGCTCCAAGGAGGCAACTTCACCATCTCCGAAGTTAAGTTTGCGTTTGGTGGGCATCTCCTCATAGTAGACGTTATGTACAGGAATGCTCCCCTAAGATGAATTAACATGTACACCCCAACAGTAAAGACTGAGTGGTTGGCCGTCCTGCCGCAAATTCCACTGCTGCTGACTATGTCCAGGCTGGTCATTCTGGCCGGAGACTTCAACTGCATCATTAATGCGGATGGACGGTCCGGAGGGTGGTGACAGTAAACTGGATGCCACACCAGATTTCTGAAGGAAATGGTTAAAGATGCTAAGCTCTACGACGTCTTCAGCACCCCTGCAGATGGAGTGCAGCATAGATACACCTGGTCGCGGCCAGAGGGGTCTATCTGCTCGAGGATACATTTCCTGTTTATGTCCCGAGCGTTCTCGGTCAGATCCACCATCGTCAAGCTGGTGTTCTTCTCTGACCACTGCCTCCTGCTGGCTGACTGTCACCTACAGAATGACCAGCGGGCTGGCAAGGGAACGTGGAAGCTGGATGTGAAACTGTTGACCCCAGAAAACATTGATGAGCTCAAAAGGTATTACACAGGTTGGAAAACTGTGAAACCCCTCTTTGAGTCTCCAGTGGACTGGTGGAAAACAGTCAAAGGGAACATTAAGAGGTTCTTAATCCTCCAAGGTGTTCAGAAGGCGAGAGAGAGACGGGGCAAATTGTCAAAACTCCAGAAAAGTATGCAGACCCTGCTGCTGCTGCACTCAATGGGGATCAATGGCATGGGGGATCTCCAGGAGGTAAAGAGACAACATGCCTCGCTCTTTGCCTTGGAGGCCTCCAAGATAATCTTCTGGTTGAGGGTCCACTCTGTGGAGTAGGATGAGACGTGCTCACGTTTCTTCTTCCATAAGGTGTACAGGAGCTCTGTGCTCAGCAGCCTGAAAGAAGAAGATGGCTCAGTAATGTCATCTCAGTCTGACATCCTGAGAATCAGCAAATCCTTTTATTGAGGTTGGTTGGCTCGCCGAGCTGTTTTGTTCCGCAGCCGTTTCGTTACCGCTGGGTAACATCCTCAGTGCAGCCTCTGATGAAGCGTCAGTGTGTTTTCCCGCCTGGTTTTTAAACTCTGGGGTCCGTTGCGATGGATTGCCTCACTTCCAGGTTTCCTCCGTAGTGGAATGTATATGGGGTCGAGTTCAGTGGGGTGTAGAGGGTGCAGAAAAGATTTACTAGAATGTTGTTGTGGTTGGAGGGATTGAGTTATAGAGAGAGGCTGAATAGGCTGGGGCTATTTTTCCTGGAGCATCACAGGTTGAGGGGTGACATTTTAGAGGTTTATAAAATCATGAGGGTCATGGATAAGGTGAACAGCCAAAGTCTTTTTCCCAGGGTAGGAGTGTCCAAAACTAGAGGGCATGGGTTTAAGGTGGGAGGGGAAAGATATAAAAGGGACCTAAGGGGCAACATTTTCATGCAGAGAGTGGTGCATGTGTGGAATTACCTGCCAGAGGAAATGGTGGAAGCTGGTATAATTACAACATTTAATAGGCATCTGGATAGGTACACAAATAGGAAGGGCTTGGACAGATATGGACCAAATTCTGGCCAATGAGACTAGGTCAGATTCAGATGTCTGATCAGCATGGATGATTTGGACCGAAGGCTCTGTTTCTGTGCTGTATGACTGTATAATAGCTTGGAGTTGTGAATCAGACTGTCAGAAAAAATCTGATCTCTGCAAGGCAGGAGCAGTGTCTTTTCTGTGGTGGTACAAAGCACTTTAAGCTTGGTAACAACCAGTTTGTTCAAATTGCCAGTTTTTGTAATCTGTGGTGCTTAACCAGTAAGTTAGACACTTTAGAAGCATGACCCAGCCACCCTGTACCTTCCAGACAAGCAAAAGAATCTAGAGAAAGAGAATCAAAGAACAGCAGAACCTGACAAGCCTATGAACAGGGACCATTGAACTGCCTTCCCAGTCTTTCCCTCTACCCAAATTCCCCATTATTTTTATGTCACATTATTTGTAGATATTGGTGTGTGTTTATAAATGTTATTACATCATTTTAAGAGAATTCAAGTTTTAACTAATATGCCAAAGTTCATAATTATTTACATGCAGCTAGAGTATTTATTTGTAACAAATTCTTATTAAGTACAGAAACTTGGTCTACATTTTCTGCCAACCTGGGTGTGAAAAACAGGTAAACTGGGGAATTCTGAGAACTTTAAAAAATCTTTAACTTTGTGAGAACTCCAGGAATAGGAGAGTTTGATTTCAAGCTAGTGACAATTCTCAAGTAACTTTAGGCTTAACTCAGAATCCTTCAAAAAGTTAAATTCTCTCATCACTTTAAAACCCGATTTAAAATTCTATCTATATAAGTCACCACTGGACCCAACAGTTTAAATGGAGTTTCAGTCTAAAAAGTGCCTTTGCCACAGAAATTCAGAGTCATGGCCACCTTCAGTGTGACTAGCATCAGGTGGTCTCCAATGCCGTTGAAGTTAATCTTCCCTTGCCACACTATCACAGAGATTTCACTGTCTGAATAGATACATGCAGTCCAAAAAAGATACTGATCCTCTAACAGCTGCAATAGTTCAATGTTTTCCTGTACCCTAATGCCATTGGGTAATGTTTTCTGTCCTTGCCTTTGTGGACAGTTGATTCAGCCAATTTCAGCAGCTACAGCAGCACCAAGCTTCTTCATCCACCTTGCTTTGTTGGCTATAGCTGGTCCTGGCTAGCAGTCCTCCTCTCTCTTTCTCACTAAGTTATCCCAAACTGCTGGTGCCATACCAAATGCTCTAATTCTTTAGAAACATCCTTACGTATTTTTTAAACCCCTTACCTCGAATTTAGAACCACCAGTGCATAGAATCTAAATTTGAAATAAACACAAATTTAGGATCATCTATTTTCTAATTGCCTAAACAAGATAACAGAATTCAAAATGTGGGTGAACTCCCAACCTAATGCCTGCTTGCCTCACTCAAAACAGACAGTGTCACGAAGTCAGAATTCTGATCCAGCATTTTACATTTGTCGGTGGTAAACTGCCCAAGCTGACATCTATAAGTTCAGCCCCATGTTTACAACAGCACCTGTGATTTCAAGGCTGGCTCCAAAGAATTGAAGAAAAAGGTACGTTCTGCTAAACCTTTAGAAATCACTGGAAAGGCCTTAGCTGGTGTGTTGTATTCAATTCTCAATACCACATTTTAGGAGGAACGTCAAGGCCATAAACAGGATGCAGGGGAGATTTACTAGAATGGTACCAGAAATAAGGACCTTCAGTCGTATGGAGATAAGAGACAGCTAGGTTTGTTCTTAAAGCAGAGAAAGTAAAGAAGAGACTGGGATATTTAAGTCATGAAGAATTTGATAAGAATAAATCAGAAATTTCCCTGGTTGAAGGATCAGTAACCAGTGGACACAAAGTGGAAGCAGGTTCTTCGATCTCTTTCTAAAGGGAATTGGACAATAGAAAGTTATGATCTTCAGGCCAGCAGCAATTTTTATTGTATTATGATAAACATAAGATTGTTCTTGAAGGTTGAGTGGAATAACAGTCTGATTTAATAATATTTATTTGTGTTTGTGAAGTCGGATGTGATGTAGATGGAGGAGATATTGGCAGAAGAGACAAATCAGAGGACAATGATTTAAATGGGATTTAATGGGATTGGTAAAAGAAGTAATAGTGACATGGAAAAAAAAAACATTTTTACACAGCAAGTGGTTAGGATTTGGAATGCATTGCCTGTGGTATGATGGAATCAGATTCAATCAAGGGGTTCAAAATAGAATTAGATAAGTTTGTTAAAAAAATGCAAGTTTCTGGCTAAAAGATAGGGAAGTGAAACAGTGAGTCATGCACTTAAGTTTTATGATGATGCACATCTGTACAAATGTGTGCCTGCATCTATACATGTTAGCTGTGTGTATTTATTTGTGTGACTGAACAATATATGCAGTAAGAAATCTGAACAGGATAGCCCTTATCTCATTGGATGATTTGCACATTGAGCAAATGGATTGGGCGCTATTGAAAAGTTTGCTGATCACTCTCAGAATCCAACACATATATTGCCCAGTAGTAGACAAGTCCTGGCAGATTATACTTCTCGCACATCTCAAAAAAAGGGAGCTCATTTGACTTTGAATTTGAGTGCTGAATGAAATCCAGTGAAATGACAGGATTTTATATTTGGTTTTGACCTTGTGTTAAAAATTGGTGTAGATGTTAAACAATGTAGACAATTAGTAGTTTATTAAAACAATATGCATTAACTAGTATCATGTTTGCTATCTCATTGCTTTTTTAATCAACGCTAATGTCTAATTAATGCTTTTTTAAAGTAATACACTCATTTTCCTGGGTAGACAAAATAAATTCAGTTTTAATTTTTTTTTAAAAAGAGATTTTATCTTTACTTGCCTCTAAAATTTACAGAAAAGTTTCCTATTGACAATTTCTTAGAAAAATTTAAACTTTACCAATTTCTCAGTGATATGCAGAATACCAGTGGGTGGCAACTAACTTTTACAATGTTCATTTTAGGAAATGCCATGAAAACAAATAAATTCAGTCCCATATCTATACACATTTCAATCTTTTAATGAAGATAATTTACAATACTTTTAAATAAAAAACATCAAGAATCCCATTAATGGGCCATTTCATACAGTCGGAAACATAATGTAACACTTTCCAAAAATCAGCACAATTTAAATTATCTAACATTACTTTGGAATCAATGAATAATAAAGTGCCTTAAAATTAATACAGTTTTCTATTCCATAGAATACCTTATTTTGGCAGGCATCCCTCTTGCTTTTACTTGCCACTGTACAGTAATTAAAAAAAACATTGAATATATTAGCAGTCATATTATGTGTGTATTCATCATTTGGTTGCCTTCACTAACTTAGCAAACAAACCATCATTTTGTTGCAGGGTCTGTGGGTCCCCATCTTCTACAATCCTTCCTTGTTCCATAACTAGAACTCTTTCGCAATCCATAATAGTACGTATACGATGAGCAATAATAAGCACTGTACTGTTTAGGAATGCACTGTGGATAACCTACAGAAGAAGCCAAATGCAAAAGTTATATGAAGTATTAGTTCTGTTTGCAACAGCCAACATTTTCTACTGTTAACAACATAACATAAGCAATGTAATAAGTTACTTTTACTCAAGTTACTTCCGAAATTCATGATTGTTTAACAAAGCAGAAACATTTATTGCGAAAACAATGGATATCCTTTGCCTGTAGTAAAATGTTAGGCTTTGTCAAAATGAACTGATATTATACAATATACAAACTTGAAAGCATTAAAGGTTTTCTGATACATGGTAAATGATGCCATAGGATCGCAACTTGGGTCTGAAAATAGGATACCAGTAGGTAAATAGTCACAGCAACATTTTTCTTTTGCGAACAGAGACGTTGACAAATTGGCCTTTAAATGCATTTATTTTATAGAAATGATACATAAACAGAGTATAAGCATGGATAGAGGATTGGCTAACAAAAGACATAGGACAAGGAGGATATTTTCAGTATGGCTACCTGATAACAAGTGGTGTGCCACACTGTTGGGGTCACAATTATTTGCTACAGTGATGACACTATGGCTTTTGTGTATTTTGTCCTTTTTTTTTTAGAAGAATGAAGAGTGGTCTGCTTCAAGCCAATAAAGTAAGCAGCTTGAGAGACCTTAGTTTCTTTTTTAAAGTTGTAAAAATAGAAGCAGCCTGAATGGGTGGGGTCAAGGTCCCACAGAACCAGGATTTTAGTTTACCTGCTGGGGTTTGGAAGCTGTTATACACCTCTCCCTGCTACAATAAACCTCTCTCTCTCCCTCTACTTCCCTCCCCCTACCCTCCCCCCTGCCTCTCTCTCTCACTCACTCACACACACACAAATGAACCAGCTTGAGGAGCAAACCAACCACAGCATTCACAACCCGAGCTACAAATCTACTCAAGAACCTTAGACACACACAAACACAGACAGTTTTTCTCTTGATATTCTTTCTTCCTAGACTGGAGAATGACATGTGAGACAATTTTTTTTATTGAATTTGCCTTTGTCAAGGGTGTGTTTATGGAATGTTACTATATTGGAACAGTTGCTGTTTAGTAGTTAAATAGTCTATACCATTCTTAAGTTTCCCAATAGAGTTGTTATTCTGATCCTCCTTTTGTTTGTATTTTAACTATAGTGTATGAATAAAGTGTGTTTTGCTTCAAGCCTGGTAGTTTGAGCAATCAAATTGTATTTGCAACTTGCCTCTAAAATAAGAAAAAGTTAGGGTCTAGGCTATCACCTTAATACATCTTGAGGGGATTTGGTCTGGTCCATATAGATCAATGACTCAGATGAGGGAAGTGAATGTATTATAGCCAAGTTTGCTGATGGTATAAAAATGGATGGGTAGGTAGGTGGTTAGAATGACACAGAGTACGTAGAGGGATACGAACAGGTTAAAAGTGAGTAGGCAAAAACTCGGCAGATAGATTATAATGGGAGGAAATGTGAGGTTACACATGCAAGAATAAGAGAGCTGAATATTATTTAAATTGAGAAAGACTGTAGAAATCTGTACAAAAGAGGGATTTGGGAATCCTCGTCCATGGATCACAAAAAGCTAGCAGCCAAGTTCAGCAGATAATAGGGAAGGCAAATGGAATGTTGACCTTTATTTCAAATGGAAAGAGTATAAAAATAGGAAGGTTTTGCTAAAATTATACAGGACACTAGTCAGACCACAGCTGGAATACTGTGTATGAAAAAATCTGACTCCCTGGCTGCACTGGGGTCGACACTAAACAGCAACGGACTCACAGAGGAAATACTACAGACCATCAGACAGACATAGTCACAACACTGAGCAGAAAAAGTAAGCGGAACATATTCAACACAGAAGAGAAGTAAGCCCTGGAAAGACTCAAGAAAGACAGAAACATTGTAATCTTACTGGCGGACAAAGGACGCATGACAATAATTCTTAATACAGCCCAATACATTGAGAAAGTTAATGCACCACTAGCAGATACCTACACCTACCAACAGATGGCAATAGATCCAACACCACTGTTAGAGAATCAGATTAAAACAACCCTGAAGAAATTACACAATTCAGAAGCCATCAGCAATTGGTGTTCCATTGATTTATTTGAATATACAGTCATTGAAGGTAAACTACCAAAAAATGAAGCCAGAGGGATTCAACACACCTGCTTCTATGGACTCCTTAAGGTACACAAGTCAGGCGTCCCCCTCAGACCCACTTTCTCAATACCTAGTACACCAACATATAGACTAGCCAAAGAACTACAATGGAAACTGAAATACTTCGTTCTCAACACTACCCACTCCTTCCAAGAATTCCTCAACATCAAAGACACCAGAATAGAAGAGGACAAGATGATGACATCCTTTGACATAACAGCACTATTTACATCCATGAACATCGATCTAGTCAAAGAGACAATTGCCACACTGCTGGACGAATCAGGAAGGCAGGCACCCCACGACACCAACAGTATCAACAAGGACAGCACCCTGAAACTGCTGGATCTGTGCCTCATAACCCACTTCACTTTCAACGGCTGTATATTCAAACAAATCAATGGAACACCAATGGGATCCCCAATATCAGTACTGATTGCAGAAACGGTAATGCAAAAGTTAGAACAGACAGCGCTTCCCACTACCCAACCCAAACTCTGGGTCCTCTATGTAGATGACATATCCGTGATTATCAAACGCACAAGACTAGAAGAAACCCACCGACACAAACAACATCCTCACTAAAATAAAATTCACAAGAGAAGACGAGAACAATAACCGACTACCCTTCCTAGATATAATGGTAGAACACAAGAACAACAGGGAACTCCAGACTAGTGTATACAGAAAGACCACCCATACGGACCAGATACTTAATTACACCAGCAACCACCCCAACATCCATAAACTGAGCTGCATCAGGACATTATTTAAACAGGCCACAACACACTGCAGCAACCTGGAATTGCACAAAGCAGAACAGGAGCATTTACACTAAGTTTTTAAAAGGAATGGATACCGAAAAAGCACAATCCGCCGTTACCTCTGTGACAGACCACAACAGGAAGACACAACATGGCCAGACTCACTAGTCACCCCACCGTACCTCAGAGACATATCAGAGATGACCACAAGACTACTGAGACCCCTAGGTATCAGGGTGGCCCACAAACCAACAACTACCCTGCGACAGCTGCTAACGAATGTAAAGGATCCCATACCCACAGCCAATAAACTAATGTAATGTATAAAATACCAGTCAAGGACTGTGAGAAACATTACATAGCCAAACTGGAAGAAAACTGACAATAAGCATACATGAACACCAACTAGCCACCAAGAGACACAACCAATTCTCACTGGTCTCAATACACACAGACAAAGCAGGACATGAATTCGACTGAGACAACACATCCATAATAGCACAAGCCAAACAAAGACATGCCAGGGAATTCCAGGAGGCCTGGTATTCCAACCGGAACTCCATCATCAAACACATTGAACTGGACCAGATATACAAGCCACTGAAAAACAGAACTGCAAGTGATGCCAACCACCCCAGCAAACCGAGGCATATAAATAACAAGCGGGACAGAACACCAACGCTTCACCAGAGGCTCACTGACGATGTTACTTCGCAGGGTGATGAAACATCTGCAATCAAACCACCAGCTCAGCGAGCAAGTCTACAACCTCATCCACAACCTGAGCTATAAATCTTTTCAAAAACTTTATACTATGAACAGTTTGAGCTCCTTACCCAAGGAAAGATTTAGTGTGTTATGAACAAGGCCAGACACCCCAAAATATAGTAAGAAGATAGTCTAGATCCTAACTTTTATATTTATTTAAAGGCAAGTGTAAGGCACGTGTTCCAAGTGTAATTTGATTTGTCCACCACTAGGTCTTAAGCAAAACACAGTTAAAACACAACAAAAAAAGAACTGACGTAACAACTTGATTGAAGTACTTAACTATATAATGTATTATTTAACTACTAATTCAATACAGGCAGCATCTCATAAACACACCCTTTGGCAAAAATGCAACTCAGCAAAACAACTATGATTCTCACGTGCTGTCTCTCTCCAGTCCAGGAAGAAACAATCTTCCCCTTTGGATATTTAAGAGGAAACTTCGCTTCGAAGACTTCAGTTTAGCAGTTTGGACTGAAGCTTTTAACTTAGCAGCCAGCAGAAATCTTCTCACTAACTAAAATTAAAACCAAAAGTGCCTTGCTTCTTTAGTCTGACCCCACTCACTCATGCTTCTTTTGTGTAACTTAAAAATAACACCCAAGCAGTTTACCAACTGCCTGTGTGAAGGAGACATTCTGGTACCAATGTGGCAACATCTCTCTGTAAGAACACATCTCTCTTAAAGGCACAGTACTGGCATTGGAGGCCAGAGAAGTTCACTTGGCTGATACCAGATATGAAGAGACTGTTTTATGAGGAGAGATTTAGTAAATTGGGCTTGTACTCAATGAAATTGAGAAGAATTACCAGCCTTATTGAAGCATACAAGATTCTTAGAGGACTTGACAGAATAGATGCGGAAAGGTTCATTCCCCTTGTGGGAAAAGCTTAGGACCAGAGAACATTACGTCACAATAAGGTGACACACATTTAAGACAGAGATAAAGAGGAATTTATTCTCTGAAGATGGTGGAGAGGTTAGTGGCAATCTTCCCGGAATCACTAGAGTCAGGGAGGATCCCAGAGAACTGGAAAACCGCTAATATAACTCCCCTGTTTAAAAAGGGAGGGAGGCAAAAAACAGGAGATTACAGGTTGACTAGCCTGACATCAGTCATTGGTAAGATTATGGAGTCCATTGTGAAGGATAAGATTTCTGAATACTTGAAAGTTCAAGGTAAAACAGGGCAAAGTCAGCATGGTTTCACCAACGGGAGGTCATGACTGACAAATCTGTCAGAATTCTTTGAGGAGGTAACGAATAGGTTAGATAAAGGAGAGCCAATGAATGCTATCTACTTGGACTTCTGGAAGGCCTTTGATAAAGGCTGCTGAGTAAGAGAAGGGCCCATGGTGTTAGAAGCAAGGTACTTGCATGGATAAAACATTGGATGTCTGGCAGAAAGAAGAGAGTTTGGATAAAAGGGTCCTTCTCAGGATGGCAGCTGATGACTAGTGGTGTTCCACAAGGGTCAGTGTTCGGACCACAACTTTTCATTTTATACATTAATAATTTAGATGAAAGAACTGAGGGCATTCAGGCTAAGTTTGCAGACGATACAAAGAAAGGTAGAGGGACAGGTAGTACTGAGGAGGCAGGGAGGCTGCAGAAGGATTTAGACAGGTTAGGAGAGTGGGCAAAAAGGTGGCAGATGGAATACAACGTGGGAAAGTATGAGATCATGCACTTTGATAGGAAGAATAGAGGCATAGACTATTTTCTAACTGGGGAGAAAATTCAGAAATCTGAAGTGCAAAAGGACTTGGGAGTTCTAGTCCAGGATTCTCTTAAGGTAAACTTGCAGGTTGAGTTGGTAGTTAGGGTGATTAATTAGGCTGAGGTGGACAGATTTTTAATCAGTAAGGGCTATGGGGAGAAGGCAGGAATGTGGAATTGAAGATTATCAGATCACTCATTATTAAATTGAATGGCCTACTTCTGCTCCTAAATCCAACGTCCTTATCATGTTTATGTATCATAAAGAGCTGTGCTATTATTAGAAAAGAGTCATCCTAAAGAAAACATTAAAATTTTAGGATAAGTACCTGAAGTACTGGGGCTGAATAAATAGGTGCTTAAAGTCCAGAACTATTCATACTACAGTAACTTTACAGGCCTCTGAATCAAGTTAAAAAATTAACCAATGATTACTTAATCTTGGACATATTTTCTGCGCAAACGTTTGGAGTGCTGTGTTCAGTTCTAGTCACCAGACTTCGGGGGAGATATGAAGACTTTGGGGAGGGTGCAAAGGTGGTTTGTCAGGATGTTGCCCGGATTGAAGTGTATTAGGTATGAGGAGAGATTTCACAAACTTGGATTATTTCCACGAGAGCATCAGAGACTGAGGGGCGATAGGATTAGGGATAGAAGTTTATAAAATTACGAGAGGCATGAATAGGTGGACAGTCAGAGTCTTCTTCCCAGGGTGGAAACATCAAATACTAGGGGTTTAAGGTGAGGGGGGGAAGGTTTAAAGGAAATGTGCGAGTAAAGTTTTTTTTCCACTCCGAGGGTGCTAAGTGCCTGGAATGCTCTGCCAAGGGAGGTGGTACGTGCAGGAATGTTAGAAAATTTTAGGAGGCATTTATACAGACACATGAACAAGCAGAGCATAGAAGAATACAGACCATGTGCAGGCAGATGGGATCAGTTTAGAATCACATCATGGTCGGCACAGACATGATGGGCTGAAGGGCCTGTTCCTGTTCTGTACTGTTCTATGTTCTAAACTACATGGTCACGAAGCTTTCAAGAGTTTATTACAATAGGGCCTATTCAGAGTACAGAAATGAGGGCCAAAGTGCTTTGGGAACTCTGTCATATAGTGTGTTACATTTGATCAATGAATGCATTTTTCACGCTTTTCCTATGGGGAGTGCCATTCCTTGACGGTAGCACATATGCTCTTTAATATGTATTCTGAATCTATGTAATACTCAATTATTTTGCTCACTTTATTTTCCTGGAAAATGGCTGAATTGTAATCAATCTTTTCATTTAACTTGCAGACTAAGCAAGGAAGAGAATGGCAGGCAAAAATATTCTTGAAATATACATTATTTCAAACTCGAATCATTCATCATTTTCTAGTAATCAACTGCTTGATATAACTCAATATAACAATTAATTCCATATTAAAATTACAGAAAGGTTTTGGCTAATATCTGCTATTACAAACAAACAAAAATATCTTACTGAAACAAAATGAATCATTTTCATGAGTACATATTAGTGTAACTGTTATTTGGTATTAATTCCAAGTGTACGTATTTAAATATACAGAGTATATGTCTGTGCCTGTTTAAAACATATTACAACTGTAACATTTCCCAGTCCAAGCAAAAGATCCCCAAATTGAAACATTAACTGTTTCTCTCTCCACAGACGTTGCCTAACCTGCTGAGCATCATAGAATCATAGAATCCCTACAGTGTGGAAACAGGCCCTTCGGCCCAAGTCCACACCGAACCTCAGAGCATCCCACCCAGACCCATCCCCCTATAACCCACCTAATCTATACTTCCCTGAACACTACGGGCAATTTAGCATGGCCAATCCACCTAACCTGCACATCTTTCGACTGTGGGAGGAAACCAGAGCACCCGGAGGAAACCCACGCAGACACGCTATTTATATTGCATCACATTGTGATATGGTTACCCAAAGCACATGCACATTTTCAGTATAAATGTTGCACAGATCTTGCATTATTAGGTAAATGAAGAACAAAAACAAAAGCATTAACACATGTTGGTGACTTAAAAACCTACTGCAATACTTCATTTGCAACAAAATATATATACAACACAACACAGACAGAACTGGAAGTCTATTAGTTAATAAACAGAATTTTGCAACAAAACATGTTTAAAAATAATATCCAGTCATAAATAACTTGGCGTTATGAAACTGCATGCAAAATTTAACCATTTTGTGTATTCAGTAAAGATAAATTTCTTACAGTTTGCAAAGCTGCGTCAGTTTCCATATCAACAGATGCTGTAGCTTCATCCATAACAGTAATTTTTGATTTCTTGATAAGGGCTCTAGCAATGCAGAAAAGTTGTCTCTGGCCCAGGCTGAAGTTTTCACTCCCTTCTGTCATAAGGGTATTCAATCCCTCTGGGAGCTCACTGACCTAATAAAAGAAAGCACTTAATGAAACAAAACTCACTAATAGTTCATCATTTTAAAAATGTCTATAGTATTGCTGTTAGCATTGCTGGTCAGTTTATTTGGTGTGTAGAATTTTGTTCCTACTCAAACATAAACCAGTATATTATTTGAATTCCAATTTTATTTGCTACTACTTGGCCTGTTTCCAAAAATCTTTTAAAAAACAAACTTATTTCACTTAACATAAGAACATAACATAAGAACTAGGAGCAGGAGTAGGCCATCTGGCCCCTCGAGCCTGCCCCACCATTTAATAAGATCATGGCTGATCTTTGAGACTCAGCTCCACTTACCTGCCCGCTCACCATAACCCTTAATTCCTTTACCTTGCAAAAATTTATCTAGCCTTGCCTTAAAAACATTCAGTGAGGTAGCTTCAACCACTTCACCGGGCAGGGAATTCCACAGATTCACAACCCTTTGGGGTGAAGAAGTTCCTCCTGACCTCAGTCCTACATCTGCTTCCCTTTATTTTGAGGCTATGCCCTCTAGTCCTAGTTTCACCTGCTAACGGAAACAACCTCCCTGCCTCCACCTTATCTATTCCCTTCATAATCTTATATGTTTCTATAAGATCTCCCCTCATTCTTCTGAATTCCAATGAGTATAATCTCAGTCTACTCAGTTTCTCCTCATAATCCAACCCTCTCAACTCTGGAATCAACCGAGTGAATCTCCTCTGCACCCCTTCCACTGCTAGTATATCTCTTCTCAAGTAAGGAGACCAAAACTGCACACAGTACTCCAGGTGTGGCCTCATCAGGACCCTATACAGCTGCAGCATAGCCTCCCTGTTTTTAAACTCCATCCCTCTAGCAATGGCAGACAAAATTCCATTTGCCTTTTTAATCACCTGCTGCACCTGCAATCCCACCTTCAGCGATTCATGCACAAGGACACCCAAGTCCCTTTGCACAGCAGCGTGCTGCAATTTTTTACCATTTAAAACATAGTCCATTTTGCTGTTATTCCTACCAAAATGGATGACCTCACACTTATCAACATTGTACTCCATCTGCCAGACCTTTGCCCACTCACTTAGACTATCTATACCCCTCTGCAGACTTTCAGTGTCTTCTGCACACTTTGCTCTACCACTCATCTTAGTGTCATCTGCAAATTTTGACACGACACTTAGTCCCCAACTCCAAATCATCTATGTAAATTGTAAACAATTGAGGCCCAACACTGATCCCTGAGGCACACCACTAGCCACTGACCACCAACTAGAAAAACACCCATTTACCCCTACTGTTTGCTTTCTACTGGTCAACCAATCCTCTATCCATGCCAATACATTACCTGTAATACCGTGCAACTTTATCTTATGTAGCAGCCTTTGGTGTGGCATCTTGTGAAATGCCTTCTGGAAATCCAGATACACCACATCCATAGGTTCCCCATTGTCCACCATGCAAGTAATGTCCTCAAAGAATTCCACCAAATTAGTTAAACATGACCTATCCTTCATTTATTTATTGTACTTATTTTATCCTGAAAACCATGATACAATGGATTGGACCATAGCAAATGGTGGAATTTGAATTCAATAAAAGAAATGCAGAATTAAGAGTCTAATGATGACCATGAATCCACTGCTGATTGTTGGAAAAAACCCATCTGGTTCACGAATGTCCTTAGGGCAGGAAACTGCCATCCTTACCTGATCTGGTCGACATGACTCCGGATGTATAGCAATATGGTTGACTCAACTGCCCTCTGGATGGGCAATAAATGCTGCCTGGCCAACACTGCCCTCATCCCGTAAATTAATTAAAAATAAAACCTCTGATGTTTACGTCACAACCATGCTCTAGGCAGACAAAAATTGCACTGATGTCAATGTAAGACTGCTTTACCAGTTATTTGCTATGCAGTGAACATAATAAAGGCTGAATGTATCCCTTGTAATAATAATGCTAGTCTAATGAACATGTTGTCTAAGGGGAGATGGAGGGGTAGTGGCGATGTCACAATTAATAATTGTCCAGAGCCCAGGCTAATGCTGGTTCAGATGGGTTCAAATCCCAGCAGGCAGCTGATGGAGTTTATATTTAATTAATAAATATAGAACAGAAAGCTCATCATTAGTAATGGTGACCACAAAGCTATCTATTGTTGTGAAAGAAAAACATCTGATTCTGGTCAGCCTAACTTCATGCAATACTCTTAATTGCCATCTGCAACGGTTGATCAAGGCACTTGGTTCAAGGGCGATTAGGGATGAACAACAAGTGCTGATACCCACAGTGACAAAATAATAAGAAAAATTTTGTTTTGTTACATTTTCTCATAAAGCAGGTCTTTTAAGTCAATTGTTTTTGTATCCATACCTGTAGTCTATTAAGTATGATACCACATTTTGTGGAACGCAGTTTAATTAATTTCTCAATTTCAAGGCAAGTGTATTTGCATTTATGTGCATATATTATTTTGTTTAAAGTAAATAAAAGGTGAAAGATGAATATTTACTGAAGCTCTGTGTATGCATAACATGTGACAAAATCTTCTTTTCAAAAGACAAAACTTGTAGGATGGTGGCTTTGACCCATTTCCCCACAAAGCAAGTTTACAACTGTTGCTACTTTGTCAGGGAAAATCAGCAAGAGGCAGTTCTGCAGAGGAAATAACAAAATAATCTGGATTATTCTGACATATGTGCAAAAACTGAAAACAGCATATGAAACCCATCCTGAAAATGGCTCCCTAATCCCAGCTCTCTGACTTCCAATCTTCTGTACAAGCTAATGTACTATCTTCAACATCATGGGCTCTTATTTCATTAAGTACCCTAAATATGTTGCACCTTATCAAAAGCTTTCTGAACATCCAAATATATTACATCCATTGCTTCCCCTTTTATCTATCCTGCTTGTTACCTCCTTATCCCATTGTGAAGCCACAGTGACTCTGTTTAATCATATCATGTATTTCTAAATGCTCTACTATATTGCTTCACTTTATAATAGACTGTAATTTTTTTTGAATGATGGACATTAAGTTAATTGGCCTACAGTTTCTTTTCTTTGTCCCCTTCCCTTTATAAATAAAAAGGTATTATGCTGGTAGTTTTCCAATCTGCCAGGGCTTTTCTAGAACCTAAGGATTCTTAGAAGATTACCACCAGTGCACCCATTATCTCTGAAGCTATTTCCTTTAATATTCTGGGATGCATCCCATCAGATCTAAAGGGGCTTACTGTTCTTTAGCTCCATTAGTTTCCCTAGCCCTTTTTCTCTAATGATAGTTATTGTAACTATTTCCTCTTCTCATTTTGCCCCTTGAATAATTTTGCAATGCTATTAGTGTCTTCTACTGTGAAGGCTGATGCAAAGAATTTTTCAACTCTGTCATTTCCTGGTTCCCATTATTATTTCCTCAGTCTCATTCTCTAAGGGGCTTTGCTCTTCTTTTTTAAATTTATATTTGTTAAAATTCATTCACAGGATTACGGGTGTCACTGGCTAGGCCAGCATTTATCATCCATCCTGAATCGCAATTGAGAGTTAGCCACATTGCTCTGGGTCTGGTGTCACCTTCTGCCATGGTAGGATTCGAACCTTGCTCGCCAGAATATTTTTTTTGGGTCTCTGGATTAATAGTCTAGTGATAATACCACTATGTCATTGCCTTTCCCTGACAGCTATTGCTGTCAGTCTTGTAAAACAAGTAAACTTTTCACTTCAACATGTTTATTGGATTGAACTCTCTAATTCGCCATCAGGTGTGGCATTATTGGTGAAACAGCTTCCTGGACCAACTAGAAAAATCTATTCTTATAAGATATAGTTCCTTGCAAATAGCAACTAGTTGCAAGTTATATTGATATAATTGACATTGTTGCATAGACTCTGAGGAGGACTAGATGTCAGGCCTCTAAGCGGTTCTGCCCATGAATCCATGGGACACAAGCATAATGGTTGTGCCTATGGCACTCTTTAGCAATACCCTTTCAGAATCATGTACAACAGCAGGCAACAGAGTAGTTGATGGCCCTAGCTAATGATCTGCACATTTACTTTCATTCTAAACAGAATGGAAAAAAGCTTCATCTTGTCAGTTCAGTGCAGCAAAATGCTCCCTAATGGACTTTCCGCAAGAATAATGAATGGATATGGAGGTTGGTATTCTGCTCAGTGTGATCCTACTTCTATGTACCCATCCCCATTTACAGTTAGATCCCCACATGCTGCATCCTTCCCAATGATCAAGTCTGTTCTTGAGCAGGTGCATGTGGGCCACGCCTCTGATGACCCCCCGAAGTCAGAGGAGGTCAGCCATGAGCACTTCAGCCATCAGAGTAGTTAAACAAGCAGACTGTCATACAGTTCTGTTATAACCACAGATCTAGCTTGATGTAGAATTAATATGAAAAGAAAGATTTTGGTTCCACAAAGGTATTCACTTGTACGGAAGCAAAATACCTCAGAATTTGCAGATACTCAGCCATTTTTGGCAACATATGTGGAGAGAAAAGGGATCAATGTTTCAGGTTGATGAACTTACATCTGTTTTGTCCCACAGATGCTGCTTGACCTGATAAGGAATTTTTTTTTTTTTTAATCATAGGGTACTCACTTGGGTGCTTATAACAACAAAATAATTGGTCCGAACAAAAAGATGGACATCGGTCCATGTGCCTATGCAGACTGGGCTGGTGACATCGCTCCACTGCGATACAACTTTCTTTGCCAGGAGCACTTGCACATCTGCTGATGCCATGGACTGTCATTTAAACTCTGTCATTGTTTGCTGTGACAAGCTTTCCACTGTTAAAATAACAGCTTCTCATAACCAGCAGCACATACTTTCCCCCAAGGTTTTTTATTGGAAGTTCTTTAAGTTTTATGGTGATTCCCAAGATTTACAGACAATTTTTTCCCTTCTGGAGATCAGATTACACTTTCAGACTGATTGGGTGATACAGGTCAGGAAATACTTTGCTAAATACACAGACAGCAG